CCCAACCCCTCCCACAACCGCGTTGATTTTCAAATGAAAATTTTTTTTTCTTTCATTTTTATTTTTTTTCAATTAGGATACCCATTCATGTTTTATTGTTTTACATTTTCCGTTTCTAAATAAAGTGTTTTCATTGTCGTTATTATTTCTTTTTCTATTCATTAATTTTCCTGAGGAGGAGCAGCCTTTGTAATACTGACTGAAGTTGTTACAGGGCTGAGTAAGCCTTCACAGGGGCTGATCAGTCTCCATGTATATTCCATGCAGGTAAGGAAGAAATCAGAAATTGTATGTTAGGGATAGATAAAGGGCATGAAGGGAGAAGAAACAGGCAATAGACCTGCACCACTTGTCTTCAATACATTATAGCCACAAGGGCTATAAAGTATGAACAATGTAAAGAATGACAATTGCACTTTGTAAGTTTCATCAGGAGGAAGATTGTAATTGTAATAAAATGTAGCCAGAGATAAGCCAAACCATGTAACGTAATTTTAGCTCTTTTAAGTAAACATATACATGGAAAACTGAGCGCAACATTTGGAACTCATCCTGATTTCCTCGGTATCCCCAAATAATATAGCAGGAACAAAAAGGGGCGACTATGGGCTAGGGTGGTCTGTAAAGTCAATGTGTGGTGGCAGCTGTAAAGTAGATTTGAGGAGAATTAGACAAAATATACGACAGTAGCGAGTGTTGGGGGTTGAAGGTGAGAATATGAAAGGGGTGGGTCATCGTCCATCGCAGGTTATATTCAATGCAGTAGTAATTAATAGTATCCGTAGTTAAGGCAGTGGCAGAGGTAGACCGAGTGGAGGCATTAACAGTTACGAAGATGGAGAGAGGGTAGTGGTCTCCTGGGATTGGTAGAAGAGATGAAAGCCCAACCAAGAAAGGCTGTGTGGCTGGATGCTGTATAGCCCTTGTGGCTTAGCGCTTCTTTTTGATTATAATAATAATGTGTGGCTGGAGAAATATATGAAATGGAAGAGGACAAAGTAGTAAGAATGGGAAAAGATAAACAAGTAGAAACACCAGAGGTGAGGACTTCAGAAAGATTGGACACACGTGACTGCAAGAGGAGCAGAGACCTATGGATGCCACGCAGCTCGAAAGTAGGAGAGCATTGAAGTCTTCCTTCTAGACGTCATCGAATCGATACTATCATATACGAAAGACCTTCATTTTCCTTAATTATTATTATTATAATCAAGGGGTAGATTAGATTTTTTTTTAGATTTTGCCACCGAAGTGGCTAGTTTATTGTGCACCCCATATCCATCCTGTGGACGGTAGCGCGAGAGCATATGGATACACAAAAGGCCTAGGAACTAGGCCCCAAAGGGTTAACAGGAATACATATGGATTTATATCTACATATCTATAGTTCACTTATCTGTTACAAGCAAATTTAGGAAATTTGCTTAGTATATCTGGTATCTTATTTTCATTAATAAGATATCTTGACATGTCACATAGGTTATTATACTGTCTGTCTCTGTATTCCTCAATAAGTGGACAATTAAGCACATAGTGTTCAAGAGAGTGACCATATGCCTGATCACATGATTTACATTTAGTTTGATCATCATCTGTGTGTCTCCCAAAACTGCCAGAAGTACTTGTAACCAAGCCTAAGCCTGGCCACTACAACATCACGTCAGTCTGTTCACATTGCAAGTTGCTCCATAAACATACTTATCTACGTTCATGTTATCATAGTGGGTTATAGATCTACTCAGGCTTCTAACTGCATTCCTATAACAATCATCTTCATTATTACTTTCTCCTAATATTATTCCTAATGCTAGACACAGTTATACAAAGTTATATTCTACGTTCTCCTTCTGGATACTCTTCTTGGCTAACATATCAACTTTATCATGAAGGAGTAATCAATGTGTGATGGGATCCATAGCAATTGTACATTAATTCCTTTGTCCCTAATTTTTGATATTATACCTGGTTTCCCCAATGGCATTTTTGGTTGGGTCATTATATGACCCAAGGCCTTCAATGATGACTAGAATCATATTGAGATGAGTCCCCGCTCAGTGTCATAGGTTTGCTTTAGCGCCATTAGGATTGCAAACAATTCAGTTTGCAGTGTAGACGCCCAGTTGTTAATTCTTATGCCTAACTCAACAAATTTATTATCGTTCTTAACTAGGGAGGTGGCAACAAGAGCAGATGCAGCCCTGCCAGAAGACTCCTGTTTAGATCCATCAGTGTATATAACTTGTGATAACTTATTACTACCAGCTAGGCGAAAAATTTCTTCTTGAGCAGTTGCTCTAACAAAAGGTAAAAGTGTGCAGAACTGTATTTCCACCTTTCTCACTGCACACACCTCTACTAGTTTTACCACTTTTCTTGATCTAAAATCTGCATTTGATATTGCAAACAGAACAGTTATACTACATGAACTAGCCAAAATGAATATTGGTGGTAGCTTACTCTGCTGGATAATAGGATACCTGTCAAATAGAGTATCCTCTGTCCTTTACCAAGGCTTCAGAAGTGATTCTAAAGAAATGTCTTTAGGTACACCGCAGGGAGGAGTTCTTAGTCCCATGCTATTTAATATTCTGATTAATGCTCTCCTAAATGCTCTACCTGCCTCACCTAAGCATATAGCTATAAGCTATGCTGATGATATCATGATCCATACAACAGGGCATAAGAAGATGACCCCTCAAGGAAGGTTCCTTGATGTTGGTGAGGGGCTCTTGATTTAGGGAATTGGATCTGTGCTCCAGTTCCCCGAATTAAGCCTGAATGCCTTCCACATCCCCCCCCCAGGCGCTGTATAATCCTCCGGGTTTAGCGCTTCCCCCTTGATTATAATAATAATAATAATAATAAGAAGATGAATACCATTCTTAATGAAGTTCAAGCAATTTGTAATCGACTAGGCCTCATAATATCTTCCTCTAAAACAAAGATATTAACAAGCAAACGACATCCCCCACCCATCTATTTGCAGGGTGAAATCATTAGCTACGTTAAAACTTACAGATATCTTGGTGTAGATGTACCTTTAACAAATCCACTATACCACAACTAAACAAGAAATGCAAAGCTAGGCTAAATGCTCTCAAAGCTGTTGCTGGCTACAATCCCAACTATGGTGCTAATGTGAGAATCGTGAGAATGATGTACATAGCCTATGTTAGGTCCTTAATTGATTATGCTGCTCCCATGTTGATATTAGCTAGAGAAAGTTCCCTCCGACCCTTGGAGTTAATGCAAAATGAAGCTCTCAGGACTATTCTTGGCTGTCCCAGATCTACAAAAGTTCTTAACATGAGGAAGGAGCTTGGTATTTCTAGAATCAGTGATAGGA